CTCTCTCTCTCTCTCTCTCTCTCTCTCTCTCTCTCTCTCTCTCTCTCTCTCTCTCTCTCACACACACACACACACACACACACACACACACTGAACCCTATGTGTTTTCCAGACACTGGTTGAGCGCGGCCTGCCTCTCATTTAACGTTAAGTAAAAAAAACGAGATCACAAGCTCAAATGGTGCTGGAATCAGAAGAACACAACAATGTTTGAGTCTGTTGTCTTTTTCTTTTGTTTTCTGTTCTTCTGTTTTTTTGTCTTTCCACTTTGCTTTCGTTTTTGTCGTCTTCTTTTTTTTTGTCGTCTTCTGCCTTGTGTGCTTTATGGGTTTGCACCTTTTTTTTTTTCTTTTTTTTTTTTTCTTTTTGCCGGTTTGCACTGTGTGTTCCCTTCGCTTACGTTTTTGTCGTTTCGTGTTGCTTGGCTTACATTTTTTGTCCTCTTTGGGAGGACAAATGAAACACCTCAAAACGACAAAAATGTAAGTCAAGGAACACGAAACGACAAACACGTAAGAGAGCTAAGGGAACACAGTCGCAAACCGACATAAAGCAAAACAAAACAAAACAAAACAAAACAAGACAAAACAATAAAAAAACTCCAGCTTGCTCTACACATGTTACTGTGAGTAAAACCAGGCCATGATCTCAAATTGTGGGCGAATCAGATGTTAGGGGTTACCCCTCTTTTCTAAAACAAAATCCAAGTAGACAGGGGGAATAAAAAAAGGAAAGGAAAAAAAGAAGAAAACGGCTTCAAAGTTCACAGTTCAAACCTTTTTTAAAAAGCAGAAGTTGAGAGAAAGATATAGAAAGAAAAAAAAAAAAAAAAACTTTTTTACTGAGTACGGATCCGGGCCGCCCGGCCGACCGGCGCCTGCCCGGGGGAGGTCCCGGGCGGCCTGGCCGGGCGGGCGGCCCGGTTGAGGGCCGGGCCCCCCCAGCACACCTTCACGGCGGGGGGTTTTCGACCCCGAAACGGGTCCATTTGTTGTTGGCAGGGCCTACCGGGTCCGACTGCGCCAAGAAAACGGCGCGTCGGGCCCGTGAGGCCTGCTTTTTTTTTTTGAATTTTTGACGGCCCTCCGGCCGTCGATCATGATCAACGGCCGGTGGGCCGTTAGTTTTTGGAGGGAAAAGCAAAGCCTCCTTTGAACATGCGATTGCCTGAGGCAGTCCGCATCGGCTTTTGAAACGGGACCTGTCCTCCAGCCGCCTGCCTTCGTCATTGTGTCCGAAGTTCGTCGAAGCAGCTGGGAGTCCCATCGCCTGGGAGAGCCGTCGCCCGTAGCCCGTCGTCATCGCCATCGCGTTCGCCGTGACCCGTCGCCCCCCGTCGTCCATCGTCGTGCTGCTCCCTGCCAGCATCCACTGCCGCCCGTCGACGAGGACTGCCGGTCTGATCTTCTTCTTCTTCTTCTTCTTCTTCTTCTTCTTCTTCTTCTTCTTCTTCCCTACTCCTCCTCCTCCTCTTATTCTTCTGCTTCTTCTTCTCTCCTCCTCCTCCTCCCCCTCTCATCTTCTTCTTCTTCTTCTTCTTCTTCTTCTTCTT